TATGTTTAACTATATTCCACCTTCAGTGGAATCAACCACTGAAGGTGATTCGGTGCTTTTAAAATGCTAAGCTAACCTACATACGTAAATACATAGATACACAGATTCACGTATGCCCTACATAAAGTGTTTGATGTGTCTTTTACATAGTCCAGCATAGTTAACAGGGAGTGAGGAGGTGGACCTCACGTCCCCGTGGTCTCTGATTGGTTGGTAAACACACAGACAGACAGTTGAGAGGCGGGACCAATGAGCCGAAGCTCAACTCCCGCCAGCACAACTTGATGAGTTCAACTAGCTTCTGCAGCTGTCAGTCTTTGTCTCTGTTTCTCTCACTGCCTGTCTGTTTGACAGACAGACAGACAAACACAGACAGAGAGACAGACAGATAGACAGGCAGATAGACACAGACAGACAGACAGACAGACAGACAGAGACACAGACAGAGACACAGACAGAGACACAGACAGACAGACAGACAGACAGACTGTCTGTCTGTCTGTGTCTGTCAGTCGCTGTCTCTCCGTCTCAACTCTTAACATAAGTAATGAAGTCGTGATGTTGGGAGGCATTATGGTAATTACTCAACTACTCCTGTTTGCCTGCTGTTTGACAAGGCTGCAGCCTCGTACCAGCGGTATTCTCTCTTTAAACAAGGACGATGGTTCATTTACAATGGTACTCACGTTGCTAATGAACCTGCAAGATGAAAGAGGCAGCCGAGCAGGATGAGCCAGGGACAAGCGGTGTGTCGGAGCCTTTATATGCTCCGGTAACTTGAGTTATCGCCTCGCTGTGTTATGATAGAACATGTTGGACATGTGAGTGTATGCAGCTTATGACTGTCTGATCGCTGAGGGAGTGATGGTCTGGGTAAATACAAATTGATCATGTTTAAATGGCTGAGCGCCTTGAGTTGTGGTTACCAATTTCTGATTGTCCAGGAAGTTGAGCCAATCAGAAATAGGAAATGTTGGACTTGTATGTAATATTATGACCACCAAGATGTCTTCAGCGGTGAAGGCTGTGGTGTTGTGACGGCCCAACCGTATCAGGTCAAGGTCAGCATGCTGATGAAGACATCTAGTCAGAGAGAGAGAGAGAAGCCCTGAACATGACAATAATCAACACGGAACATGCGGTCATATTCTATGAACCACACGCACACATTATATAATATATATATATATATATATATGCAACAATGATCACAAAAACACTGATCCAAGTATGCAGAATAACCACATATGAAAAATAGAAAATGCTTAACGCGTTTTCGGCTAATTCGCCTTCATCAGAGCAAAGTAGAATGAGGATAAGATTGCTGATCAGACCTTTATATCCGCCTGGGCAGATCACCTGACCACCAAAAATAAGTGGAGGAAAGGAATTATAAGAAAGAAGGTAACTGCAGAAGGCCTATTGGCCCATACAAGGCAGCTCCTATTAATATCTCCAAGTGCCATACGTGTTTAAATGATTGCTATATTGTTTTGACGTGCTATATTGAGGCTTAAATAGGGATCCAACTTGTACATACCGGGGCTCACATTAAGGCTGTTGTTACAATGTTTGATCAGAGCAGACTCGATCACGTTTCGTTCAACAAAATCCTTACTTTTAACAATACATTTTGCCCCTGTGAAGTCGATAGAATGATTACATAAACTGGAATGTAAATACAATGCACTGGATTGCTGGGCTGTACGAATAGCGTATGAATGCTGTTTTAAACGCGAGGAAAGAGTTTTACCTGTCTGGCCGATGTAAACACATGCACACTCATTACAAGGGATGGAATACACACAACCTGCTACAGACGAGGGCGAGTTCTTAATTAACATGGACTTAACTGTATTATCATTTTTGAACACTAGATTAATATTAAGGTTCTTCAGGGCTGGGGCAAGATTTACTAGACCCTCAGAATATGGTAATACCAACGAATTTTTCAGTTCTGGTTTCGACTTAGTAGTCTGTTTGTAGAAAGTCCTTTTTGCTTGACCAAACGCAAGATCCAAGATCGATTTTGGGTATTTTAACTTCTTCCCAATTTCAAATATATTTGCTATTTCTTCATCGAAAAATTCCGGACTACAAACTCTCAGTGCTCTGAGAAACATACCAGAAAAAACTGCCCGCTTGACCTGAACATGATGATTTGAATAGAAATGTACATACGAGCACACATTGGTAGGTTTCCTATACACATTGAATTTGAAACTTCTACCAATTCTATGAATCATGATGTCTAAAAAAGGCAGAACACCATTCACTTCGTTCTCAATTGTGAATTTAATTGACGGAACCAGCGAATTGATTTGATTGAGAAAATCAGTTTCGTCACGATTAACCGGCCACAGGCACAAAATATCGTCAACGTACCTGTACCAAAGCAAATTTGAGGGTAAAATCCTGGGAAGGATATTTGTTTCGAAACATTCCATGTACAGATTGCTCAAAACAGGGGAGAGGGGATTACCCATCGCCATGCCAAATGTTTGTTTATAAAATGAATCATTAAAGCTGAAATAATTATCTTTAATGCACAATTTTATAAGTTCAATAATGGTGTTAGTAGGCAAAGTTAAATTATACCTTGGGAGTAGATCCCGTAAGAATGACAACAGATCATCAACAGGAACCCTAGTGAACAGAGCCGTCACATCAAAACTCACAAGTTTAAAATCATAATTTAATTTCAAACTAGACAACTTGTTAACCAAGTCCAAGTTGTTTGTTATGTGTGAGTTGGATATGGAACCTACTACTGGAGACAAGACTTGGACAAGCCATTTGGAAAGTCTATATGCCACAGATTAACAAGTTGTCTAGTTTGAAATTAAATTATGATTTTAAACTTGTGAGTTTTGATGTGACGGCTCTGTTCACTAGGGTTCCTGTTGATGATCTGTTGTCATTCTTACGGGATCTACTCCCAAGGTATAATTTAACTTTGCCTACTAACACCATTATTGAACTTATAAAATTGTGCATTAAAGATAATTATTTCAGCTTTAATGATTCATTTTATAAACAAACATTTGGCATGGCGATGGGTAATCCCCTCTCCCCTGTTTTGAGCAATCTGTACATGGAATGTTTCGAAACAAATATCCTTCCCAGGATTTTACCCTCAAATTTGCTTTGGTACAGGTACGTTGACGATATTTTGTGCCTGTGGCCGGTTAATCGTGACGAAACTGATTTTCTCAATCAAATCAATTCGCTGGTTCCGTCAATTAAATTCACAATTGAGAACGAAGTGAATGGTGTTCTGCCTTTTTTAGACATCATGATTCATAGAATTGGTAGAAGTTTCAAATTCAATGTGTATAGGAAACCTACCAATGTGTGCTCGTATGTACATTTCTATTCAAATCATCATGTTCAGGTCAAGCGGGCAGTTTTTTCTGGTATGTTTCTCAGAGCACTGAGAGTTTGTAGTCCGGAATTTTTCGATGAAGAAATAGCAAATATATTTGAAATTGGGAAGAAGTTAAAATACCCAAAATCGATCTTGGATCTTGCGTTTGGTCAAGCAAAAAGGACTTTCTACAAACAGACTACTAAGTCGAAACCAGAACTGAAAAATTCGTTGGTATTACCATATTCTGAGGGTCTAGTAAATCTTGCCCCAGCCCTGAAGAACCTTAATATTAATTTAGTGTTCAAAAATGATAATACAGTTAAGTCCATGTTAATTAAGAACTCGCCCTCGTCTGTAGCAGGTTGTGTGTATTCCATCCCTTGTAATGAGTGTGCATGTGTTTACATCGGCCAGACAGGTAAAACTCTTTCCTCGCGTTTAAAACAGCATTCATACGCTATTCGTACAGCCCAGCAATCCAGTGCATTGTATTTACATTCCAGTTTATGTAATCATTCTATCGACTTCACAGGGGCAAAATGTATTGTTAAAAGTAAGGATTTTGTTGAACGAAACGTGATCGAGTCTGCCCTGATCAAACATTGTAACAACAGCCTTAATGTGAGCCCCGGTATGTACAAGTTGGATCCCTATTTAAGCCTCAATATAGCACGTCAAAACAATATAGCAATCATTTAAACACGTATGGCACTTGGAGATATTAATAGGAGCTGCCTTGTATGGGCCAATAGGCCTTCTGCAATTACCTTCTTTCTTATAATTCCTTCCTCCACTTATTTTTGGTGGTCAGGTGATCTGCCCAGGCGGATATAAAGGTCTGATCAGCAATCTTATCCTCATTCTTCTTTGCTCTGATGAAGGCGAATTAGCCGAAAACGCGTTAAGCATTTTCTATTTTTCATATGTGGTTATTCTGCATATATATATATATATTTATATATATATATATATATATATTTATATATATATATATATATATATATATATATATATATATATATGTATATATAATCTTTGGACAACACCCACCAGTGGGACTCGAACCCAGAAAGCACAACTACCTTCCAGTAGCTGCCATAACTAGTATGCTTTAACCCACTACACCATCAGACCCTACAAAAGAAGTAGATAGTTCGAGATATATCTCGAACTATCTACTTCTTTTGTAAGGTCTGATGGTGTAGTGGGTTAAAGCATACTAGTTATGGCAGCTACTGGAAGGTAGTTGTGCTTTCTGGGTTCGAGTCCCACTGGTGGGTGTTGTCCAATGATTATTAATCTTCACTTGTGGTTTATGCAAGTATTGGCTTATATATATATATATATATATATATATATATATATATATATATATATATATATATATATATATATATACATTTCATATATCCTCATGTTCATGTGCACAATTGTAAACTATTTGTAGACTCAAGCCAAAAGGAACATAAAACCAACATATTAAAAATCCAACTAAAAATTCTCCAAGAACTTCACATCACCCAAAAGGTGCCAAAGTCCCGCGTGGCGCCAGGAATATCTGGCTCACCACTCTGGCTTCTGACCACTTTGTAAACTGTCTATGGCTGAAGTTAGGTTAAAATAACCAGTCATGTCGCCTTCGTCCCTCTCTCACACAGGGAACATTGAAATTTCTTATCATACTCAACTTGATAATTATTTTATGTCTGGCTCCCCAAACATACACAGCGAGGAATATTGCAACAAACACAATAGCTACGACACCCACGACAAACACAGTGACAAGGACACTCACGACAAACACAGTGACAAGGACACTCACGACAAACACAGTGACAAGGACACTCACGACAAACACAGTGACAAGGACACTCACGACAAACACAGTGACAAGGACACTCACGACAAACACAGTGACAAGGACACTCACGACAAACACAGTGACAAGGACACCCACGACAAACACAGTGACAAGGACACTCTCGACAAACACAGTGACAAGGACACCCACGACAAACACAGTGACAAGGACACCCTCGACAAACACAGTGACAAGGACACCCACGACAAACACAGTGACAAGGACACCCACGACAAACACAGTGACAAGGACACCCACGACAAACACAGTGACAAGGACACCCACGACAAACACAGTGACAAGGACACCCACGACAAACACAGTGACAAGGACACCCACGACAAACACAGTGACAAGGACACCCACGACAAACACAGTGACAAGGACACCCACGACAAACACAGTGACAAAAACATAGTCAACAACAGTAATAGCAGTTTGTGTGTGTGTGGTGAAGCACCAGCACTGTTGGTGTGTGTGTGGTGAAGCACCAGCACTGTTGGTGTGTGGTTGTGGTGAAGCACCAGCACTGTTGGTGTGTGTGTGGTTGTGGTGAAGCACCACCACTGTTGGTGTGTGTGTGGTTGTGGTGAAGCACCACCACTGTTGGTGTGTGGTTGTGGTGAAGCACCACCACTGTTGGTGTGTGGTTGTGGTGAAGCACCACCACTGTTGGTGTGTGTGTGGTTGTGGTGAAGCACCACCACTGTTGGTGTGTGTGTGGTTGTGGTGAAGCACCACCACTGTTGGTGTGTGGTTGTGGTGAAGCACCACCACTGTTGGTGTGTGGTTGTGGTGAAGCACCACCACTGTTGGTGTGTGGTTGTGGTGAAGCACCAGCACTGTTGGTGTGTGGTTGTGGTGAAGCACCAGCACTGTTGGTGTGTGTGTGGTGAAGCACCAGCACTGTTGGTGTGTGGTTGTGGTGAAGCACCAGTACTGTTGGTGTGGTTGTGGTGAAGCACCACCACTGTTGGTGTGTGGTTGTGGTGAAGCACCAGCACTGTTGGTGTGTGGTTGTGGTGAAGCACCAGCACTGTTGGTGTGTGTGTGGTGAAGCACCAGCACAGTACACAGTACTTGGAGACAGGTACTCCCTGTGAGCCGCTGAGAGCCTCGGACCCGGACCCGACCGGCCGCCTGGACAGTAATCCGACATTATTGCTTCAGGCAGGTAATGTCTCCCAGTCCGGGGTCCTCCCTCGCTCCCTCACCACCACTACACAACCTCATGTCTTCTAAATATCGCTTTGAGAAGACAGTTCTGCCACTCACAGTGTTTGACAGGAGAGTTCTCGCACTCACAGTGTTTGACAGGAGAGTTCTGGCACTCACAGAGCTTGACAAGAGAGTTCTGGCACTCACAGTCCTTGACAGGAGAGTTCTGGCACTCACAGTCCTTAACAGGAGAGTTCTGGCACTCACAGAGCTTGACAAGAGAGTTCTGGCACTCACAGTCCTTGACAGGAGAGTTCTGGCACTCACAGTCCTTGACAGGAGAGTTCTGGCAGTCACAGTCCTTAACAGGAGAGTCCTGGCAGTCACAGCCCTTAACAGGAGAGTTCTGGTACTCTCAGAGTTTCTTTAACGGAGAGTTTCTTCTCACTAAATAATCGCGTTTATTAAATAAAATTCGTCAAGTTTTTGTCTTGAATTATGTGATTTATAATTTTCCTGGGGCCAAAATATTGTTGTCTCCCGGGGAAATTTTTAATATTCCAGGAGAAATTTAATAATAAAAAAAGCCTTTAACAGTGCCAAGTTCTGAAGAAGTGTTTAATATACATTGATAATTATTCTCTGGATAATTACACAATTTTTACTCTTCTCAAAAGCTCAAAGAAAAAGATATTTAAAAGAAAAGTACTAAAGATAAATAATCCACGTCGGGTGTGGATTTTTTTTTAGTTTAGTTCCTTGTCAGGTCGCTCAACTACTTGGGGTGGACGGTAGAGCGACGGTCTCGCTTCATGTAGGTCGGAGTTCAATCCCCGACCGTCCATCATGTGATTGGGCACCATTCCTTCTCCCGGTTTCATCCCAAATCTTTATCCTGGCCCCTTCCAAGTGGTATATAGTGGTATTGGCTTGGTGCTTTCCTCTTGATAATTCCCTTACCCTCTTTCCCACGTGTGGTGTAGTCAGCAGACCTCAGTCACAAGAGACAGTCACTCAGCAGACTCCGCCCAACACGGATAGACATGAACTATCCTTTTTTAGGATAGTCTGCTGACTATCAGATAGTCAGATTAGACTATCTGCTGAGTGATAGTTGGCCAAAAGGGACGACACTCAGCAGGGAGCAGGCAGCCAGCAGGCAGACAGACAGGCAGACAGGCAGACAGGCAGGCAGACAGGCAGACAGGCAGGCAGACAGACAGACAGGCAGGACGTACCCCCTGCACCAATTACAGTCCCCCCCGGCCAAAGGGGACACTCATCCAGCAGACGTCAGGCGAGGTACAGTACAACTCACCCCTAAGGAACAAACCTCTCTCATTACAGTACAACCACTACAGTACAACCACTACAGTACAACCATTACAGTACAACCACTACAGTACAACCATTACAGTACAACCACTACAGTACAACCACTACAGTACAACCACTACAGTACAACCACTACAGTACAACCACTACAGTACAACCATTACAGTACAACCATTACAGTACAACCACTACAGTACAACCACTACAGTACAACCACTACAGTACAACCATTACAGTACAACCATTACAGTACAACCATTACAGTACAACCATTACAGTACAACCATTACAGTACAACCATTACAGTACAACCATTACAGTACAACCACTACAGTACAACCACTACAGTACAACCATTACAGTACAACCACTATAGTACAACCACTACAGTACAACCACTATAGTACAACCATTACAGTACAACCATTACAGCTCAACCACTATAGTACAACCATTACAGCTCAACCACTATAGTACAACCATTACAGCTCAACCACTACAGTACAACCATTACAGTACAACCACTATAGTACAACCATTATAGCTCCACCACTACAGTACAACCATTACAGTACAACCATTACAGTACAACCATTACAGCTCAACCACTACAGTACAACCATTACAGCTCAACCACTACACGAATCTTCCCCTGTATCTACTCCCCCCCCCCCCAAGCAGACCACCAACCCACAATTACAGAAAAAAAAACATGAATTATCTCTGTAACTCGACTATACATTGTAAATGTAATTATATTGAAAAGATATGCAAAGAAATGTCTTAGAAAAGGCCAGAATGTGTTGGAGGGAGTTAACGAGGCCAGACGAGCCAGTAATAAGGACGGGTAATTACCCGAGGTGAAGGTTGAAGGGCCACGAGGTCTAGTAAACAAGCGGGTAATTGAAAGGTCTTGAATGATATACGTCGGAAGAATTCATATTTGAATAAATAAATGGTGAATTATACCTTCGGTATGATGAATTGGACAGCTTAATGGTGTGTGTGTATCCTGCGGTGTGTACTCACCTAATTGTACTCACCTAATTGTGCTTGCGGGGGTTGAGCTCTGGCTCTTTGGTCCCGCCTCTCAACCGTCAATCAACTGGTGTACAGATTCCTGAGCCTATTGGGCTCTATCATATCTACATTTGAAACTGTGTGTGTGTGTCTGTGTGTGTGTGTTTGTGTGTGTATGTATGTATATATGTGTATTGTGACGGAAAATTGTAGGAGTGTAGATGTTCGGCAGTACTCCTAATGGCTGGTGTCAATGCCTAGTCACACATAAAAAAAAAGGTAAGATTGCTTGCCTGTTTATCTGTGGTAAAGTAAGGGAAGACACACAAAACACATAGTATGAACAATGAAACTTTAATTAATATAGAAAACAAATTATAAACAAAGACAATCCCTTGGCTATGCACAGTGCAAAGAAACAAGTCAAAAATATATAATATAAATGAAGAATAGGGATGAAGTTACTCTACAATAATATAAATACACAGTGAAAAATAATCAGGTGCTGAGAATATGGCGCTAGCTGCGAGACATCCACCTGATACAGCATATACCAGTTAGTTGTTCACTGCTTGAGAGCACAAGGATATTCTGACTTCAATGGCTGGTTCAAGCCCAGACATCGACTCAGGTAGAGGGCGCTGAGGTGCAGAAGTGCAGGTGCGCAGTCGGCGAGTCACCAATCAGGAGCAGGCAGGCTGGGAAGGGTAGTTGGCTGGTTGATGACGAGCCGGCGTGGAGGGAGTGTGGAGTAGGGGGTGAGTCTTGGGTACGTTTGCCTCCTGGTCAAAACGTTTTGTGCTACTAGTAGACGTATCTTGAAGGTAGCATCTTATTGTTGTATAATATACATAACTTGATGTAGAGAAGAGCAGGCTCAATCTCTCTTGAAAGAGATTATCGTCACAACTCTCCCCCGAAGCCTGCGCTTACGGGTGAAGTTACGTCTTCAGGTGGTAGAGTGGTAGGTGGAGCTGTCTCTACCTCATACACTCTGGAGAAGGCGTTTACTATGATGTCAGAACCTTTGATGTAGAAGATCTCCAGGTTGAAATTCTGCAGATATAAAGCCCATCGTAGAAGTCGTTGATTGTTGAATTGGGCTTGCTGCAGGAAGCGTAGGGGATTGTGGTCCGAGTAGATGGTGGTAGACCGAGCACCTTGCAGGTATGATTCAAAGTGCTGCAAGTTCAGGACGATGGAGAGTAGCTCCTTTTCGATCGTGCTGTAATTTTTCTGGTGTGGTTTTAACTTGTAGTTGTAGTAGCTAACAGGTAGAACCTCCTCGCCTCGTTGTTGCATCAGGACGCCCCCGATGCCGGTACCACTGGCGTCGACATGGAGGATGAAGGCTTCGTGATATCTGGCGAGGCGAGAATGGGATTAGAACAGAGCAGGAATTTAAGTTGTTCAAAAGCAATGGTCTGCTGAATGGTCCAATGATACCGTGGCTTGGGGCTGGTTAAAGTGATCAATGGTGTCGCTACCGTACTAAAATTCTTCACAAACCTACGGTAGTAGGAGGCAAGACCAAGGAAGCGCAGGAGCTGCATCCTGGTGGTAGGCTGTGGGTAATGCTGGATGGCTTGGGTAGGTATGTTTAACGGAGCTAGGCTGCCACTCGCTATCTCATGACCAAGATAACGCACTTTACCTTTAGCAAAGGTGGACTTGCCCAAGTTGATGGTGAGGCCGGCTGTCAGGAGCTTGGCAAACATTCGTTGCAGCTGGAGCAGATGTTCGCTCCAGGTGTTGGTTGCCACAACGATATCATCCAAGTAGGCGTTGGTGTTATCTAAGCCATGGATGACACGGTTGACAGCTCGCTGGAAGGTGGCCGGGGCATTACATAGTCCAAATGGAAGGCGTTCGTATCTGTAAAGGCCGAAAGGAGTGGTAAAGGCAGATATTTCCTTAGCTTGCACTG